TCTATCTATCTATCTATCTATCTATCTATCTATCTATCTATCTATCTATCTATCTATCTATCTATCTATCTATCTATCTATCTATCTATCTATTTCATCAAGCATTTATTAGATAACATATATAAGTATAAACATGATTCTGAATACATGAAATGAATACCAATAAATAGGGTTGTTAGGACAGGGATGGTAGGCACATTCGTGCGCTTATGCACGTCCCCTTTACAGTCCTCTTAGGAATGGGGTGAGGTCAACAGTAACAGTCTAAGGTTAAAGCTACGGGGGTTTTGGGATGAATTCATAGAGTCAGTTAGAGCATTCCAGGCAATGACCACTTTGTTGCTGAAGTGGTATTTTCTGCAATAGAGTTTGGAGAGGTTTACCTTGAGTTTGTATCTATTGTGTGCAATACAGTTGAAGCTGAAGTAGTCGTTGACAGGTAAGACATTGTAGCAGATAATTTTATGTACTACGCTTAGGTCAGACGTAGGGAGCGTAGTTCTAAGTTGTCTAAGCCCAAAATTTCAAACCTGGTGGCATAAGGGATTCTGTTGTGAGCAGGAGTGGAGGACTCTTCTCGTGACATACCTCTGGACTCACTCAACTGTATTAATGTCTGATATACAGTGCAGATTCCAGGCAGATGAGCTGTATTCGAGAACTGGTCTAGCAAAGGTTTTGTATGCTCTGGTTAGTAGTACACTGTTACCAGAGAAGAAGCTAGGCAGGATTAGGTTAACTCCTCTTGGTGCCTTTTTGAAAATAGGCTCTAATTAAGGTCCCTTTCTGACTTTTTAGGATCCTCTGGGCTTCCTCGGGGGCGGCCCGCCTGTCAGCCTCATCCCCACCACCTCTTTTATGTGCCTGCTTTTTTTTCCGCCTGGCAAAGGCACCAACATTAGCAGGGAAACCCTGACGCGCAGCATCTATTCATGGTGGCCATTACAAACATAGCATATTTCCCCCTCCTTCAAGGCCCGCCAGGCGAACGCCCAACGCCCGCCTTCCTTCGTGTCCCCGCCCCGCCACCGGCCTTTACCATTTTCTTGCTCTCGGAGCCTCCTCGGCTGCCCTGACGTGCCATTTTGCCGCCGCTGCCGCCGCCGAGCCGCTCGCCCGGCCGGGAAGAGGAGCTCCGGGAGAAGCAAACCGCCCTGCCTCCGCCTTGTCGCTTTCCTGAGGCAGAGGACTACGACTCCCAGCATTCAGCTGGCGACAGGTAAACGCCTGCCAAAGAGTCTGCGCGAGAGGGAGGCGGAAGACGATTTGTTGAATTACGCCTGCGCGGGCTTCCTGCAGCCACGATTCCTTCCTACAATTCCTAGCATGCTTGCGCGAGCTTATTCCAAGGCAGCAGGGAATGTTATATTTAGAGGTCCCCCCCATCGATGAGATCGACATGTTCCTTGTGTCCCAGTAGGTGTCAGCATTTAGCTGCTCTCAAAGATCTGTTTTATTGATCATAAAAGAATTAAATTGTTGATAAATTATTTATCTTAAATTATTAAAGATAGGGATATTAATATAAGATAAACATAAATTAAGATGAGATGGTATGCGAGCAGGGGAATTGGCAATATTATTTCCAAACCACTGGTGGCTGAGCGGAAATGTTTGTTGTCAGTGTTTCTCAACTTTTTTTAAGTTTGTCAAAAAGTTTAGGACGTACCCTCCAGATAGCAACCCACATGGACAATAACGCAATGGTAAAAATCAGACTCTTCACAGGATGTTTAATTTGTGGTTCAAGTATATGGCATCTATGAAAACATTAAAAATATGCTCCTTTTGAATGTGGAATGAACGGGGGTTGGGGTTGTATGTGTGGACTTCAGCTATAGTCTAGTTCAGTAGTGTTCAAACTTGGCAACTTTAAGACTTGTGGATTTCCAACTCTCAGAATTCCCCAGGCCAGGGTGGGAATTCTGGAAGTTGAAAGTCCACACATCCAAAAGATGCCAAGATTGGACATCCCTGCTCATTACTGAGTGCCGTCTTGCCAGTTTGGGCCACTCCCATAAGGACCCCACTATTCACAAACATCTAAAGGGGTCCATCATAGTTGCTTAACACAAGACCACCGCTGAAGGAAAAGGAGATGTAGATCTGATTAGTATCCAAGATATGGATGTGCATTTACTATGTTCATATGTGTGGACAGCTAGTTTGCAATCACCAATTTCTTTCTGGAAGGCAAATTGGAATATTTACTAATAGTTACTAATTCCCAAGTACAAGAATGCCTCCATTTTTACCCATCTTCAGTTCCCCATGTGATATAGAATTTTAGGCTTCATTATTAGCATTTTAATAAAAGTGACACCAGCGTTTTAGCATGGCATCCATGCAGCCTTTTGAAGTTTAGCACACCATGTTTTTCCTGAGCCAAAGTGAATTCCTTTGCTGTGCAAAAACTAGCCCTCCCAGGAGCAATCAAACAAAACAGGGCTTATTCAAGAGTCCCTGATTAAAGTTGAAAGTATTGAGAAACAGATCCAGTTGCGAAAGTAGAAGATGCAACATATTTTAACGATGTCTGTTTTTTTTCAAATCTAATAAAAAATCTTTATTATTTGATCTGTTGCTTTTCGATTCATCATATATATTGAATGTGTATATCTTTTGTGTCTGTACAAAGGTTTCATCCTGAATAAAATGCATTGTGCTTTGCCCGAAATTCTTGAGGGGGTGTTTGGGGAAAAAACACTTTGCATGGTTCTTTCCAGCTCTAGGCCAGGTTGGGTGCCTGAGTTTTATAAGCAAGACTCAAATTTCAAAGTATGATGAAATTCTGGGGGAAAAAGTGTATCTATGCAAGATATAAATAATGGCAATTGGGTCTGGAAATACAGAAACAAGCCAATTTTGCTTTAAACAACTAGAAGTGAGAAGATGGTCAGTCCATTTTTCTATACCTCAAAGCCAGATGCTTCTCCGCCTATCACTCTTCAAAGCAGGGGTGACAAACACAAGGCCTGCAATTTGGTTGGATCTGGCCCGCGGGCCGTCCTGGAAAATATAAGGGGTCAGCCTGTGTCACTTCGACCCGGTCTATCCAATGAAGAGAGGAAACATGCCAGTAGTTTGGGGAGTGGCGTCAAACTGGTCACACCCACCCTGTCACCCATGCCCACCTGCCCCCCCCCCGGGTCAACCACAGCCCTGATGTGGTCCTCAATGAAATTGAGTTTGCACCCCTGCTCCAAAGGAAGCTTTCCAGATGGGATTAATTTTATCTGTTTTTTTGTCCCTTGCAAAAGATCAGATAGGAATAAAAGCTCAACATAACTTTCTTCAAGTGTAACTTTCTGCAATTTGTGAGGAATGCTGGATGCTGCAGTCCAGCAACAATTAGAAGGTCAGCAGCTACAAGTTAATTAAAAATATGCCCAATTAGAATACAGGTTTAGATATTCTTTTCAAATGTAATGCTTGTAATAATGTAGTAATTGTGGAAAGAATGACTCAACACGAGAGCAGCAACTAAAACCAGAAAAAAAGCTTCATGCTTCAGAAATTATTTTTAAACATACAAATTTGACTAAATATGAATGTATTAAAATTTATTGGGTTGCAACCTTATTTTGACATGAGTTTGTCACTCAAATAGACACTGCACATTTAGAATTCTAATATTGCGAAATCACCCTTTTCTGTCAACTTGATTTAATAATACATTATTTCAACATCTTTATAAAAATTTGGACTTCACCATTTCATCACCGAGTAATGTGTGTTAGCATTTTGGTCCTTTGGATATTGTGATCAGAAAACACTTACGTTCATTTAATATAAAACCATATCCTACCTGCTATTAAATACCCAGCAATGAGTGATCATTGGGAAAGTATAGTAACAGACCCATTCACAACAATATATGATCGAATTACTTTGAACTCAGACATCACAGTGCATACTGAACAATTTATTATTAATACATTGTTTTTTACATAAGGTTATTCAAAAAAAATTACAAAATAGCAGAAATTAATGGGCAACACACATGTGGATTAAGGCAACAGGCCAAAATGATACTTGCAATAGGCTCAAAGCTTCCATGACTGGAAAAAAAATTAGTGGAGCTGAGTTCATTTCTCCCAAGGGGAAGAAAATTGGCATTATGGGCATGGAGAAACATGGATGAACAGTAGGTAGATATACTTGCAGGCCACGACATTTACACTTGCTAAACAGTGGCATAATCATAAACAAAAGTAGGCTGCTTCACCAGAAATCCAAAAGTTTTCTGTTTTCTATGCTTAAGCATTTGCCAATGGCCCAAAGAA